AATGTCTTTAGAAGAGGCCATTCATAAAAGTATCTTTATGAAATGTTTACGAAACAAGAGCAAGTGTTTATTTTGAGAAGCCAAATAAAGCCACAAAGACGATGTGGGTTTTAAAAGTGCTTTACATACATACATACATACTTTATTGTTACCTCCCCAAAGGGGCTTTTCAGGAACAATAATTATATTACATTATTTATAATAACTAATTACAACACTTAATCTAATACTAATTACAATGTTAGCTAATTACTAATTACAATATTTGAAACTTAACTAAGAAGTATTTACAAAATTATCTAAAAGCTGCCTCCTTAAGGAACGTTTAAAAATTTCAACATATGGGCTTAACTCAAGAAAAGATTCCAAAATGTTCCAAAGTTTAACAGTCCTGTAATAAAAGGTTCTCTGTCCGGAGGCAGTTCTGAAAAGAGGGATGTTTAGCTTTGGCTACTCCGAGTTGCTACAAAATATATCTAGGTGTCGTAACTGTTTATCAGTAGGATGCGTAAAATGTGTGCAATTCCACAACTGGTTTCGGCTCCATTAAATCCTTTTCAAATTGCAGAACATTTTAGGAGGAGCCACCCACAATGTAAGCACAGTCACAGAAACACATATAAAGTGAGGAAAATAACGCAAAGTAAAATTAAGACGTTGACGTCTTAATTTTACTAGTTGATTTTCGTGTTATTTAACGAACTAAATGTACACGTCAATTAAATGAATAAATAAATAATGCACGTGCACATAATAAAACTGTGCGCGGATACGTACCAAGATACACCTGAAATCAGAAACTTATAAGGGGTTGAAACGTGTAACTCTCATATGTTTGCTTTGTCCGATGCTCGTGATTATTCATTTTCGAAAGTACCATATTTGGAACGAGAAGAAGAGACAACTGACCAATCAAACTTCCTAAACAACATGACGTAATTTTACTTCAGGTTCCCGCGCCCGCTTAAAAAAATGGCCGTCAAACGGGGGAAAAACTCGCAAAAGCCGAGAAATCTTTCAAAGGTTGAAACCAGGAATCGTACCGAAACACTGAGCAGGATATTGTTGCCTCACCACTCGGGCCAAACGTAACATTCTGAAACCCATTGACGTCCTCGCAACTTCTGAAAGTTGTCACTTCAAAAAATGATGCCTCGTTGACCCTCTGCACAGTAAACTTTTACTGCAAATAGGTTTTTAAAATTCTTATATTAAAAGTCTAGAATAAACAGTAAAAACATTTTCGAATAAAATTCATTAGCTGCGTTGCGAAAATTGTCCAAAACCTGAACCTGACATCTTCGCAAAAAGTGGTGCTTGTAATGAATGTGAGAAGCATTTTAAAAGCTTAAATTCAGCTTGGATGTTGTAGTCACGATCGTGTTTTGAGCTGCTTTTACCAATGAACAAACTCAAAACAATAGACAAAGAAGCCGTTTCTTGAAAATTTTTATTCAAAATCCAAAAAGTTAATCCTTTCAAGGAATTTGGAAAACACTATCTGGATCGTGCATTTCACGCAAGTGAAATCGGCTGAGCACATGGCAAAATTCAACACAAAATCCGTCTCAAATCGGGGCACATTTTCTAATTTTTCTTTAGCTCCGAAGAAAACAATTTATAAAACGTCTATGAAACATTTAAAAATACATAAGTTCGTTTTCAAAAACGTAATTGTCTTAGCCATAGAGTGCAAAATGTACCTGGAAATTCAGCAAAAACTTCACTGCCTTGGTTGCATTTCAAAACAGACCATGCGTTCCGTCCTGAAGAAAACAGGGTTGAACTTCTCGAAGGACGATTTCTTGATGAAAAGCTTCCCTTACCCCACAAAAAGAAAGCTGAGCATTCTTTTGAACTTTCCGTTTCCATTTTTTGTCTTTAACGGTGTATTTTTAACCCTGAAATGCAGAACTCTTGTCTTAAAACATCTGCATGGTGATCGCGCGGCAGCCATTTTCTTGAAAATGGATATCTGTCACTAAGGTTTCCAAATATGGTCAAAATGAATATTCACGAGCATTGAACGCGAGTTACACGTTTCAACCCCTTATGAGTTTCTGCTGACATACAAATCTATAAGTAATAAATAAGTGATGTAAGGATACGATGGTGCGATTCAAGCCTGGATTGCTAATCTCATCTCCGGCATGGCTGCACAATACTTCTCGACGATAAGACCATGGCGATTGAAGAATTTAAAATGATTTTTGAATTAGATCGGTTTCAAAGCCTTGTTGTCTGAGACGTCGCTGAGTCTATTTATGGAAACACCGTAAGCTAGATTGGCGGGATGTCTAACGCGCGTACGCGCAATTCAGCTACCTTTGCATGAATTCGTAGACAAAAAAACAAAACAAATCACTGCAACGTTTTCATTTTGGACATTTAAGTAATTTGTGTTTAGATTATCCGTTGTGGCACATGTCCTCTAAGATGAGGCTCTATCCTTAATTTAAGTTTCTTGTTTTGGTATCGTGTTTTTTCCCTGAAACAACAAAAATAGATTTAAGTTAGTGAATAGGATACAAATGGACCCTTGGCTTCCAATAAGCTACTTTCAGTAAAGTCATATATAATTTAATTGCCAAAGTCTTTGAAAGGAATTAGTTCACGATATTTTTTATGAATTTGCCTTTTTCACTGATACCAGCTAACACGAGCCTTAAACTACATATTATTAGGAAAACGGCTTCCATTGACAACATCATTGTTGCACATAGCATTCGTCACTTCAAATATAATAAAAGAAAAAAACATGACTGTAGCCAATGGCGCCTTCTGGTGTTCAAGCGAGCTTACTTCATAGACGACGGTAGTTATTGTTGTCCTCTGATCCATGGCTTTCATATTCACGTTCATCTTCAAAAACAAATTGAAACGAAGTTTAAGAAAAAAGGGCTCGTCTTCCCCTATTCTTACCGCTGGTGTCTTACGCGAAACTGATGAACTGCTTTTTGCAGGCTTTGCAATGTTTTAGTGACCTCCATCAGCTTGGTTTGTACCTCATCTTCCTCCTCAGGGGTATCCTCGTCTGAGGGGGTGGTGTTCTTATCGGGTTCCTTCCTTAGTGTATTTCGTTTAGCAGAAAAATAGCGATGTATCAAATTTTTCATAACGACTCGTCGCTAAACAGAAAACAAAAACAAAAAAGGAATGATTAAAGAAACTGTAGGTCAAACAACTCTTTTACTATTTGCACTAAATATCATGATAACTAAGTTCAAAGTGTTAAGTTCAGGACCTTCAATATGCAGGCTATCTACTCTTTGCAGGGTATTCAGGTACAGAACCGAGAAATAAATAGTCCTGTTACTTCGAAAAAAAAAAGGAGAATGTAAAAGACAGAAGAAAGAGTAAGCAAAGGATGCAAAATAGTTACCTTGTAACGACTAGTCGAACATTGGTTACGTTTATAAGAACGGTGTTAATAAGAGGCGAGCTTAACTATTTGTTACCAACGCTTCCTCTTCCATGCCTGCCTCCCATGCTTCCGTTCTAATTCTTTATAGATTATTCGCTGAAGAATAATACCCTTATGTGAAAAAGCTTTTGAAATTCGACAGCCTTATATAGTTTCGCTCATCCTCGACTGAGAACACTGCACTGTCTAGCTAAATTATGAAATGATCACCTACCGATTTATGAAATGACTCATTTTTTCAAATGAAAATCTGCCGATCAAAATTTTAAAAAGCGCGCTTTATTGCAGTGTCAATGTATTGAGCACGAAAGTACAACTTGACAACTGTATTTTACGTTTCCATACTGGAGACAGGACTGCCATTTTACGTGGTCATCGTCCGAGCCACGCAAAGGACCAGCCATTTGCAAAGCAAAGGCAAAACATTTATTTCGCAGTATCTTGTGGACCCTGTCAGTATACCGAGGGGTCGAAACCGCGACACTCTTGCTCTGCTGTCAAGCCCCTCTACTGACTGAGCTAGTCCTGCTGTGTTGTTTTAGACTTAGCACTTCTAAAAGGGAATTTTCAACGAGAACCCCAAAAATTTTATAGGAGAGCCTGCTTTCTTCTCTCCCGGTCGAAGGTACATTTTCTCTGAGTCCGGCCGGTTTATTGAGGCTTATTTACTTTGGTTATCACTATTCTTGCTTATATGACGAGAATAAAGGTTCATTCTAATTTTCTAAAAATTGATATACTTACCCTTTTCTAATTAGTTCTTCTGCTTTGATACAACCAAGACACTAAAAAAGGAATACAAAAGACTCTAAGGATGTTACCATGAAAACAGTGTTTGAAGTAGCCTAACAACGGCAACAAAAACGACGACAGCAAGCAAAAGAAAACGCGCGTTTTATTTCAGGCCAAGTTTGCAACCTATCCGGATAGTTTTCAGGCGTAAAGCTTGAGAAACTATTTGCACGAGAATAGAAACCAAAGAAACACGCACATTTACGTCTCCTAACATGTGTCTCGATAATATAAATTATAGATCGATTATTGTAAGAAATATTTAGTAGATTTACTTCTTGTGACCTTGGTTCGAGTCCATACTTGCTTTAGTTTTTACCAAAACATTAATTCCTTTTTTAATAATTTCGTAACATTTAAATCATTTTTCATGTGGATGCGGCGAGGCTTTGCTACTTACTTACTTACTTTTTTAACCCAATTGTATCTTCTAGCAAGCCAACGGACTGCGGAGGCAATTTTTTCTACTGGTATCAGGTTAAATGGCGGTGGTAGAGGACTGACTTCCCTGATGTAATACATCCAGATACGCGTCCTCGCAAACTTGAATTTAGTGTCCTTCTCTTTCTGAAAGAAAGCAAATATAGACGTATTAAATACTTATAACATCAAGGTAATTTAAGGCAAAGGTCTTCAGATCTAGATGTCGTATCGATCTCCTACGAGTATTGTATAAGAAAACTGTAGTGTGTAATATAAACAGGGATTTCGAAGCGACTGAATTAAATCTCCTTAAAGGTAATATACCTGGTATTATTTATCACACAGTAATAAGCTCAGTTCATTTCAGAATACTTCACAACGCAAATCACTTTCAAAATAAGAACGCGTTAAGTTTTGGCGTGGGCTGAACCCCGGCCAAAGTTTTCACCTCTGACGTACAAGACCACTGAGAATTCCTAGACAATCAAACATCAGCCCCAGACCACCGCCGTAGCCAGTATGAGGCGAACCGAGGCACTCGCCTCGGTAAAATTTTATCAAATACTGTCGATTTTTATTTTTTTTATCAGACTGATAATATTAGAAGATTTCATACGGCTGATTTCGTACAACGGACCGTGTGTTCGCCTCGGTTGTAGTTTCTTCCTGGCTACGGCCCTGCAGACTTTTTCAGTTGCAGTTCGTTTTTCCCTCGCGCGCATTTTGAGACAAGTTTAGTGACGACCAGTTTCTATGTTTAGGAAATATGACGTCACAAATAGCGGGTGGTCAAGTCGTTTTTTGATGAAAATCATGTTTTCAACTTCTTTCAAAGATAAAAGTAAAGGTTGTGACCGGATAAAATGAAGCAAAGCGCTTATTCGTCTGTTATTTATTAGTGGGTCAAGCACAACACCAGGTCAACATCAGCAGTGACAAGCTGATGCTTTGTTAGCTGTTGCCTTATGTAATTATAGCTGTTAAGAATTTTGTCTTCTTAATCTCATTCCCAGACCCCTTGTAAATTTTGTGTAAATAGTCTCGTCATAATCTGTAAAGGTCACTTTAGAACACTTTTGAAAATGGTTGTTGACTAGCATACGATACGTCACTTATCAAAATACCAAATTTGACAACGTTTATCACCGCTGCTGGTGTTTCATTTTTGTTTAAACTACGATGGCCAAAAAACAAAAGTCTTCATGATATGTTTTTCTCATCCTTTCGTAAGCTAACCACATTTTTCTTTATTATTAATTGTTATTTTCACGGTTGCAATATTTACTTATGCTATGTACGTACGTGTTGCTGTGATATTACATGCAAACTTCTCCTTTTATGGCTGAGAACACGTGGAAAGGGACGTTGGCGCAATATCAATTATACTGTTCTTGTGTGACCCATCCATTGGCACGTTAGTTTGTATGCGTTTTACAATTTTATTATAAACCGATTTGTGTAGACACAACATTGCACGTGCATCAACCTTCTTGAATGAGTTATTGAGCATAGCGATCAGTAGGTTTAGTACAACCAGTATGGAAGCGAGGCTGTATACTGCGAACAAAATCTGTCCTGTAACCATGGTAATCTTTGAGTTCTCGTCCGTTTCAAAAGCAGAAAATTCGACATGTCCGAACAATGCCCAAAACAATGTCTCCACGGTTCTCTCGATTCTGTTAAAAGAATACGTACTAGCTATCTGTTCGGCTCACATATACACTTAGTGCAACCGCAATTTAACGATCCTCGATAAAACGATGTTCTAGTTTAATAACTGTGAATATTCTTTACACCGTATTCACAAATGGCGGACACGCGGGAAAAAACTGGTGCCTAGTCATGAAAGCGAGGCGTTGGAGGATAAACAAAAATTGCAAATGAAGACTTTCAGTGAACTTGCAGAGTGTTTAGCACGGATTCCACCTAAAATAACTTTGTACGGACTTCTTTTTAAATACAATTACGTGGAATGTCTTCTGCTTTTAATGTTTAGTAACGATTTGCTGTTTGCAATCAAAAGGGGCGCGTATATCTTAAAGGAAACAGGATGATTTTGTAGGTTTCCGAAGCATCAGAAGCTCGAAGAGTAGGCGATGGCTGGAGAAAAGCGGCAAACATGTTGGCCCAAACCTCTCACTGTAACCGAATATGAAAGCCATATCACTACAATTCTGTATTGGATCAAATTAATTCCGTCGCTTTGGAGTGAATTGTTATGGGTACGTTGGCAGAGCTTAGCAAAAATCTCATGATTTCTTTGTCATTGCGAAATAATTAAAAATTATTTTATCAAAATTAGAAGCTGTAGTGTGTGAATCTTATGGCTTGCTATTTGCCTGGTCTCTTTTAGGGCATTATCTCAGAGAGCTCTTGGTAAAAAAAGTGGTATAAAGCTTACATTTTACTAGGTTAAAATTTCAAGGCAATGTTTTTGTCAGGACTGCACACGGTAAGCTTCGGTTTCGAGTCTGGATCCGTTTAAGAAGACAATCATTTTATTTATTTATGTATTCTCCAACTTTAAAATATTATGGAACATAAAGTTAAAACTCTTAACAGCCAAAGGTAAGAAATACGAAATTACTCCATTGCCAGAAATCGTGGACATTTCGCGCCCGTGATCAATTGTCAGCGGAATCTCATTTTTAAAATGGCGGACAAAAACTATCGTAGTCAGGGAAAGCGTATCCCTTGCGATTTTTTAAATAATTTGAGCTCTGTGGATCTGTTTTACGAAGAAAAAAGCTGGAATTAAACACCTTGCAAGAAAATGTTAGGTTTATACGCGGCCGAGCGGCTGATAGCAACAAAACAGTACGCGGATGTACCTTTCGTGACATTTTCGTGACAATTTTGTTTTAAAACCAAGCCTGATAGGCTAATGGAGGATTTTTGAATGCCTGGAACCTAGTTTATATCCCGTGAAGCATCTCTGGAGTTGTAGCAACAAACAAAATGGCGATTCTGTGGGGTTTGGAGTTGTGAAGCTGTGTCCGACCGAAATGTGTCATTCGCAACCATGGCGTCCATTACTGGACTACAGATGGAAAACTGAGGGAAATAATGCGCCTTTGGAAATATTTTGCAGTGCAAAAATCGTCCTTTTAACGACTGTTAAAAGGAAACATCTTTCATCGCAGAAGTGATATCGAGTCGGGCAAATTTACTTCAGTGAAGGGTTTATCCTCTAATCGACGAGTATTTCGCATGACTTCGGCAAGATTTTAAGACAATGTATGGAGAAATGGAGCGTACAACAAGGAATAAAAGTGGCCACGTCAGGAAGTAAGTAAACCTACTTCTAATTAGCTATTTTTAACCCAGATGCGAGGGTTACACAGCACTTAACATGTTTCGAGTCGGGCACCGAACACCCGTGAGCTCATAATCGATATATTTGAAAAAGTTTCCTTATCTCCATACATTTTCTTATACGAATTCGCAGCCATTGTGGCCTTAGTGCGCACGCGCAACCGCCATCTTGTCCCTAATTTCTGGCAATGCGCTGAAATGATATATGGCCGGCTTACCGAGTCTGCCGAGTAACAAGTTGAAATTTTGAGCGTACTCCTCTCGATCGCTCCTGCATTTATACCTAAAAAATAGTTCTAATTGATGTCCTTCATTGATAAAGACCAGAGAATAACGTCCTGGCAAACAAAAACCAAACATAACTTCATCGAAACCTCAGTCACCTCTTCTTTCCTGTCTTCCTTTTTTCCATCTCGACTTGAACTGTTTTGTTCAGCGGCAGACGTCTCTTGCGTTAACAGTTACAAGTAGGCAGAAGTAGGCCATATATCTGTCGCTTATTCCTTTTTTTCTTGCCACCAAGATTTGTTTATATTTCTGTTTGACCGAATTGTAGTGATCTGGCTTTCATATTCGGTTTCAGTGTGAGGTTTGGGCCAACATGTTTGCCGCTTTACTCCAGCCATCGCCTACTCTTCGAGCTTCTGATGCTTCGGAAACCTACAAAATCATCCTGTTTCCTTGAAGATATACGCGTCCCTTTTGATTGCAAACAGCAAATCGCTACTAAACATTAAAAGCAGAAGACGTAATTGTAGAAGCAAGAAGACGTAATAGCAGAAGACGTAATTGTATTTAAAAAAAAGTCCGTACAAAGTTATTTTAGGTGGAATCCGTGCTAAACACTCTGCAAGTTCACTGAAAGTCTTCATTTGCAATTTTTGTTTATCCTCCAACGCCTCGCTTTCATGACTAGGCACCAGTTTTTTCCCGCGTGTCCGCCATTTGTGAATACGGTGTATGTCCCGGCAAAAGTTACAGTAAACTGTATGAAACAGAACCCCGATACCACGATATTCCCGATTTAATTAGAATTTAGCGGTATTATCAGTACACAGTCACAATTTAAGCAAAACTAAAGTACAGTAATCTTTAACGTTTCTGTCAACAGCTAGGTGCGATGATATATGAAAATGATACTGTGTTCTAAGCCCCTGTTTATCAACTTTATCCTCTTTAACTTCCCTGCCATTCATTACATAGTTCTCTTAGTTTCAGTATCTTTGACTCTTTCATGTGATGAAACGTAAACGTTGCAGGGATTTCAAGGCCGATGCCTTTGTTCACGACGATACCATTTAATCAAAATCAATAATCAATAACATCAATAATAGTCAATAAAATCAATAACAATTAATTGGTTGATATTCAAAAAACAATAAAAATCAAAACATTTTTTTGATTTGTCTTCATGATAAAGGGCTATCAGCGTCTAGTTTTAAGGGGAAGCGTTATTTTGCTATCATTTTAGAATTAGATGTACATTGTCTCTGTTTCCTACCTTTCAAAAGGTGGGATGTATTAGTGGCGTTACGGCTCTTGGCAACTTGTGCTGCAGTTAGCTGCACGTACTGAGAGTACAGTTTCCTCATGGCAAAAGCAAACGCGCAAAAATTCAGGGCAAAGAGCGCGAAAAATCTGACAATATCCTTGGTCATCATCATAAGGGACAGGTGCAGCGGTCCCAAAGTAGAGTCAACTTGGAGAAGATGCGAGGCTTCAAAGAATGTTAGAAGCACTGCAAATGCGTAGAAACTGTTTGATAGCAGCAAGAGATGATACGGGCCCAATGAAGAGGCATCTTCTAGCTTGCTAAGAGACACAGTCCAATCATCAGAATCTCTTGCTAAAGAAGCGTAGCCCACGATCCATAGTACAGCAGCAAGAACGTAGCTAATGATCATGGGTATGACGGCAAGGTGCCACCACTCACCGAGATATCGTTCCATGCCTTGGTACATGGCTTGCTTTATTTCTTGGACGATTATACCAACCACCCAGATACCAATAATAACAGCTATAATAATAGATAAATACTAAATCAAGTAAATGAATAACTATTCCTACTGCATAAATGCTTGACTCATTAAGCATAATTTGAACGAACGTAGCTCTATCGCGAACTGTTCCAAGCTAATCTGGACTTATCCACGCTTGTGGGCCCAAACAAAATCAATAGTGATTACCAGCCGAGATGGCCTAAATTAGACCCTAATGATGTTCTGAAGCGGTTTTTTTTAACAAAAAAGACCCCAATTCAGAGCTAACTCAAAGGAAGTTAGAGAACGTATTTGTTTTGGAATATGGAACATTTAGTAATAATTCCAAGTTAGTCCTATTATGTCTCGTTTAGTTCTCGTAATTCATTCCGCAAATGAGGGGTTAAGCAAGTACTAAAACTTCTTTGCCTTTTCAAGTATTGCATTATATAGAGCAAGTGGATTGCAAACCCTATGAAAACACTAAGATTATTCATCTCCGGTACGTATCTTCAAACCAAGTTTGTTTTACACCTTCATAGATCGGCTCTCTTCACTGAAATAACTTTATGTGATTAACTGTCAACAGGAGGGAAGAGTATAAGAATTTGAGGATATTTGGCTCTACGAACTTGTACGAAGTCGTCAGTGTTCCGGCGCACGATTACTTAGCGAGTATACAATAAAAAAGCTCTTTGTTGAGAAATCTAGAGAGTCGTTGGTTCCTTGGTTAACGGCTTTCTCGTTTCCCTAACGAGAAAGAGCGATTTTTAAAGGGGGTTTGACACGAGGATTAATTGCTGTTTTTGTACAAGTACCTTTACCCATACACAAAATGTTTCTTCTGATCAGCGTTATGAAGATATCAAACAAAGCAGTTCACCAAGGAGCACTAACCATAACATTTTTTTGGTGAACTTTTTCAAGTCCAACCTTTTAATCTGTTGCAACAGACGACGAGAAACAGTTTAAATGCAAAATACACTAAACTAGTGTTAACCTGAATGACAAAAATGGACCGCTATTTTTGGAATTCAGTTGATGCGACAAAAAATTAGCTTCTTAAAAAGATAGCAAATAGCATGACAAATTGTCTTTTATAAAATAAGTAAGATAGCACGCACGCTCTGATTGGCTGAGAGGAGTGTTTGCATGAGAGTATGTAAACATGGTTGTGGCGTCAAGATGTTTTGCTTTTCGCGCGCTAATCACGCAAGCACGAATTTGAAAAGGTTTTCAAGTTCAAAACTCGTCAAGTTTACTTTATTTACTCATTCCTTCGTTGGCTGAAACTTGGAAAATCGTTACCAAGAAAGTGTGTCAATTTTTTTTCACTTAAGCTGAGATTTTAAGCCAGAAAACTCCGTATTTTGGAAAGCATCTTTTTGCAAAACAAGAACTGATTACGCGTGCAAGACTTTCTCGGGAAAGTTACCTTATAAAAGCAATAGAAAACTTTTTCCCTGTGTTTGCATAGCCTGATATAAACACTGGAGGCGTAGGGAGAATTCTCGACAGTTATGCAAACCCTCGACTTCGTCTCGGGTTTGCATAACTGTTTCGAATTCTCCCAACCCCTCTCGTGTTTATATCACGCTATGCAAACACAGAAAACGTTTTCTATTGCTTAAATAGTATAGATGTTTATTCGAACTCACTTAGTGGTGATAAGCGCAGGAACGAGTCATATTTATCTTGGAAGGCCGACATTGCCACCAAAGCCAAGAACCACAGGACAGAAGACGCTTGGCTCATGAGCTTGCACAGAGGAGTCTCCATCTTCTTTCTCAGTCGGTTGGCAGGAGTGAACATGTATCCCAGCATGCAAAGTGGCATGAAAAGTGTATACAATATCATCAGAAGAAATTTCGTTTTGAAGGACAGTTGATTCCATTTTCCCGATCCCTTGTAAGCAATCGCGTTCAGCATAATTTGGCTGTAGGGATGAGCTATAAACTAAAAGACATAAACATATCAGCATTTTCGCTGTTTCGAATTCTATCTTCTTCCTGTGAACTCACTTAAAAATCAATTACCCGCTAGACTGATGTAGGTAGTAGGCCCTTAATTGTTTATCAAAGTAACAATTTCCCTCAAGTAGCGCCCAAAATTGAAACTTAGAAAAATATACTACTGTACAGAAATGCAGCCTCGGTTTTATAAAAGACTGTACAGACAAAGGAAAATAAATGCTGTGTTGTTTCTTTTCAAAAGATTAAGACCCTATTTAGGAAAGGCTTGCAAACTAATATTGCATATCCCGTTCGGCGGTCATGCTCGTACACGTCATTCGAGGCTCCGTCCACACGTATTCGGTGAACCCGGAATACGAATCTGCAACTTTTTGAATCTGCCCTCCTGAGTGGAAATTTTTGATTACGCTATGAATCTTGAATCGTGTGGACGCTAAGTTAAATCCAGATACTTTCTTAATCCGGTGAAGTAAAAAGATCGAGCCCAGTTCTTTACCGTGAATACTGCTCAAGATGGCAACCTCGTTGCCTGGTTCTCTCTATACTCGTCGATGCAAATTGTAAGATGCAAATTTTGCGCGGTTTACGAATGCATGCTCTGTTGCCAATTTTCCCAGAGTGAATCTGGATACGTGTCTGAATACCGATACGGGTGTACATGGAAATTTTTGAATCTGGAAAGAAAAAGTAGCAGTTTCTTTAAAATATCCGGATACTTGTGGACGGGGCTTGTATTCTGCTTCCAAACCTCCATCAGTAAGGCACAAAAATAAAAGGCGAAAAGAAAGAATGTAACAATGTAATCTATGAGGACAGAAGACTTTTCTGGTGCTTTTTCTACCTCGCAGGTGAATCATAGCCTGCGACCACTGACGTATTTCCGGTCGTCCCTTCTCTCCACTAGTACTTTTCGGTTGGTGAGAAAAGCGACGGCCGGAAATACGTCTGCATTCGCAAGGATAGCCGGAAAAAGGTTAAGCGTTTTTGCTCTCCATGCCAAAACTACTTTTACAAAATACTTGGGTAATCGTACAAAACTAAACTTAATCATATAATTATTTTTACTCCACTTCTCTGTTCTTTGTTCTTCATTCTTTCTTTTCGGGAATAAAATGTCTCTCTTTCTTGGCAAAAAAAAGTCTCTCCTCTTGGGATGAAAAATAAAAAATAAAAAAAATAGGAAGAAAATTAAAAAGCACTCTTACCTTTCTGTTGCGATATTTTATAGCAAGGTTAAGAACGCGTAATCTGTGTTCCTTTTGTCTCAATTGTACCTTCCCGTTCAATGTTTCAGCTTCCGGTACATCCATAACCGCAGCTATTTCCTCGTGATTTCTACATTCATCTAACAGACTGACTGCAAAATTTTCGCTCTGCGCGGAGAGGGCGAAATAATCCTCACGAAATTGTGAGTTTTTTGGGAGTCTTAGTTTATGTAGTTTGAGTAACTGGGTAGTGGTCAGCCATTCTCATTTTTTTTATTTATCGTATATTTGGCGATCGATAAGCCAGCCAAAAACACTTCGAAGAAGAAGTAAATAAGTGCTATTGTAACTGCAATATTGGGCGATTAAATTCGTCCTCTTCTGTCAACCTGTTAGCGTTTAAAGTCAGTTTAGGTCACTCGTTCCATTAGTTACTAACTGTGGGGTGACGATGCTAGTTGCTTTAACAAAAAGGACGACCTCAACTGAACCTGTTTACCGTCAGCCAATATAATTGTTACCCACGACTCGCGACATTAGGCCTTACCCTCTTGGGATATAGCTAAACCGAGGAAAGCGGAACGGGGAGGGGAAACGTGAAACGGGAAACGAGCACACAGAATGGGAAAATGAAAAATGAGACCAAAACAGCCCTATTAGTTTATTCATTTTTTCCGTCTTATGAACACCTCTCCTTCGTGTCGAGCTCATTTTCCTGAAATTCATGTGATCTATGGCAATGATTAAAATAAGGTAAGTTATCAACTGGGTGTCGTAATTTAAAGCACATTATTTTTCATTCAAAATATTTCCCCGATTCTGATTGGCTAAAAGCACACGCATAATTCACCATAACCAGTTGTTGATGACCATATTTGGAAGAATTTTGTGCTTAGCGAGGAAATGACGTCAAAAATGCAGCGTTTTTGCAGGTTAATGCACCGTTAACCGAGAAGACCGGGGGACGAAATTGAGCTGTTTTGGTTGTGGAAACCAAAAATAGCGGACACTTCACTCGTTTCAAGAGTAAGAACTAGGCGAAATAATAGCTTAACTTATGGCAAGAACAGCAAGAAGACAACTCGAAGGGCGACATCTGCGATTTGGAGAATATTTGCGGAGCTGAACAGCCCTAAACGTGCACTCTCGAAGATGAACTTAACATCGATGGATCGATGGAGATAAGCATGTTTTAGCTATGTGTTTAAACTAGGAATTATTTTGAATGAATAATAAAACAACTATTGAATTCGGCTTTCGTATCATATGAAGAATTATGGAGATCTCGCAGGGTGTTATCCGCCTCGGCCTACGGCCTCAATGGATAACACCCTCCTCGATCTCCATATGGAAAATTATTCATAAGATACTCAGCCTCATTCATTAATTGTTAATTAATACATGAAAGATGGATTCATTATCAACATATGAGTAAAGCCGTTGCATTCCCCGGGTTGGTATTTCTTTCACTGCCAAAAAAAATGGCGCACATCAGAAGAAGATCTGGGCAGTCATATATGCAACTTAAGAAGTCTAAAAATAATAATAATGAAAAAGGAATAAAAAATAACTTGCCATAATGCATGTTTACGACAGAAATACAAATTTTGGTCAATTTTATCCCCAATCCGGCCTCGTTTTGAATTTGTAAATTTGCAATGTTTTACAGAAATCATTTCCAGAGAGTTGAAAAGAATACCCAGGCACAAAGATTGTTTCCCGGGGGGGGGGGGGTACTGTGGGTTAGGGTTAGGGTTAGGGTTACGGGGGACTGTGCTAGTGACCTCAGTTCTTTCTGGAAAGCAGCTAATCTAGGATAGGGAGGGATTTGGGGAGTTTAGTCTAGTATAGGGTAGCAAAATTCACTTGAACTAGCTCTGGTATAGGGAAGGGTTCCAGGGTCCCAGCGGCACATCCCCACCCAAAAAGTCCTAAGGTACCTCCCGGGGATTGTTGTCACTGTGAAGAATGTTGTTCCCAATCAAACGAGGCTTGGTGATAAAATGTACCCTGTCTGCGGATGTAAACAAACATGAACAAGGTGAGCTTGTTCATGACCTTCATGATATCAGAGGAGGTGTTAACTTTACAAGTTCTTAATACACGAAACATCGTCAAACGAAAACTCATAGTTTGCGTACATACAGTGTAACTGCGATCATTTTCACGCGTTAAACATTTCTCCGTATGTACAGATGTACGAATTCCCATATATTCACTCTTATGAAAGAAATTTTTACTCTAAAAAAATTAAGACAGATCAATAAGATCTTGACTTTGAGGTAAACTTGTTTCACCGATGCTAACAGCTGCGAGCCAGCACGATTGCTATTGATGAGAAAGTGGCGAATCGCACGAGCGCTATTAAATACGTAACTAAATTAAATTGAACTAAATACACACCTAACGCGAACCACTATTCGAGATTCAATCGAAATCACTAAATCACTCTGATATTCAGTTCCTAAATCAGTAGCGGATCTTTTCGGTCATTGTCACCGTCATCGTGGTCACCAGTAGTACCAGCAGTTGACTGCTCTGACGTTTGCAGCTCTGAAGTTTGAAGCTCACGGTATTCATATGTTGTAACCGGAGAAGAGACCGGTCTCCTTAATTTATAAAAATAAGCTAGCACTGCAACTAGCAAAAAGAAAAGTAGAGGAACTGCAACAGATAGACCAATGATAATTGCATAATTTGACTGCAAAATTGCTGATGGAGATGGACACGGAGAAGTGGAGTTGGAACCACTTACAGGACAAAAACCTGGAGGGAACCCTTCACCAGGAGGTGGTCCTGGAATAAATATCAAACGTAAGCAAAATTAATTGCTAACTCCTTCTTTTCAGCGGCATACTTAACACTTTTTTATGATATTATTTTACCCAATGATTGGCTTTAGAACGTTGGGAACGGTAACTGCTATAACCTCGCCCCAATAGCTAGGTACCAAGCGTCCAAAAAATTCAAGAAAAACTGCTTAAAATTTTGTGAAAAAAATTTACCAAAAATCATGTCAAAAAGTTCAGACGAAAATTTATACGCTTTTTAACAAACATAACAATTTTTTTTCAGAGAATAAGAAGTTTAAGTTATTAAATCTTTTATTAAATAATTACTGTGATTTGAATTAACGTTAAACAGTGCAATACACCACAAACGTTTTCGAAATACGCACCAGGGTTTTGTGTTGAAAACTGGAATTAACAATTCATCCCTACAAATAGTACTGACATATTAAGCAATCATCGTATTCGGCTTTTTATAGTGATCTGTAGAATTATGCAGAACTCAGAGGTTGTTATCGACCCTCTTGCCTTGTTCCTTGGCCTCATTATTTGAAGCGGGTCAAAGCTTGAAGTGAATTGACCGAGAGGAACTGGGCAAGAACCTCTCAGATCTGCCTAATTCATCAGATCATGATCGCACTCAGCCTCATTCAATTATTATTATTACTAGTAACAACCAAAGGTTACGGAGTGCAGGCGATAACGATCAAAGGTCAAAACGCTTGCCGCTCCAACGCCGTGCTTTACGTAAGTGGCACGTGACAAATGGTCAAAACGCGCGTGATCAGATTACGAATGATGGAGGATCCAAATGCGCGTGATCAAATTGCGCCATGTGCATTTTATTCAATCTTAGCGTAAGTCCAAACGAATGCTGGCTACATACGACATGCGACGCATGCGTAATAACAACCTGGAGATTAGGATTGCGGGCTTCTCTTGTAGCCCGCTTTCATCATCATCATCATCATCTTTCTCGTTATTTTTATCAATATCATTATTATTATGTATATACTCTCAGTATTCAACTGGTAACCAGTTCCCGGTGAAAGTCACATCCTGCAACCTTAGCTCGAGAACCCGTCGAAGGAGTCGTGCTGTTCCTGATAAAGCAGTCTTTTGAATCTTGCCTACTAATTCTTTCACGATTGTCCCAAGTGCCCCGGCAACAATAGGCACAGCTCTTATTTTGACCTTCTAAAGTTTTCTCAATTGTAATTACTATTATTATTTATTTATTTCATTGTGTCAATTTTCTGTTAGCTCACCATCAAAACAACTCTCTTTGCAGAAACTGTGCTTTCAAGCTGTCAAGTATTCTCCATTTACCTTTTAGAGTATATATACGTACCTATTTCATCGATACCTTCGTAGCTATATTCAAACTCTTGCGATCTCTTGAACATCTGTTCGTGGGTGTACACAGGGAAAATCGGTATAATTACACCGCCTTTGTTGTGACCAAGTGGGGCATCGTAGGGTGAAAGGACAGTAGCATTCTGCTTATAATTTTGAAGCCATTTCTCAAAGATCATATCAATGAACGAGTGATGAAGGTAGAAGATGAGGTCATTAGCTGCTGAAGGAACATCACCCATGTCACCTCCCATATATATATGAACTTGGTTATGAAGGGTGTGAACGTTTGGCAATCTTGCTACCTGCAAAGCCCTCCAAGATGTTCCTAAAACTGCAGCTCGTCTCTTTGCTGTAGGGTGGAAGGTCGAACGTTTCAAACTTCAGGGCAAAATTAACATCTTCTAAAGTTGGAAAGGTAGTAGCGAACCCCCTATCTTCTAGACCATTTTTCTTTGGAATTCAAACGCCCCAGCCATGATTTTTCATCAGACGAGTTGCACATCCGAGTCATGCCTCGGGTTTGCTCTTCGGTGAAAATGACACTCCAAGACGTAAAATATTTTCCTGTTACTCTGCCTGTGGTCACATTGGTGACGCCAAGATGCTTTTCAGTACAAATTGTGCAGGTTTCTTTATTTTTACTCCATTTCCAATAAGACACAGGAAAGCTAAATACACAGCCCTCCGTGGGCAACGTCAATTCCAGACTGGGTACCGCGTTCATCTGGAAAAAAAGTGTACCTTGTTGAGTAGTAGTGCATCCAAACAAACAAGTTATGAACCGGGATGTTGGAGAAAAGTCCTGTAGGGTCTCCCCCGTGGTCACTTTCATTCCGTATTTCATCGTACGCAGCCGTCGTCACCATATAATCGCTGATAGCAAACCTGCGGAAAACAAGTGTATTGTGCGAAGAGGAAATGACAATATATCAAACAATTTTAATGGCGTGGGCGAAGTAGATACATGAATTACATAATAACATGAATTGGAGATTATATTCCTTGCATTGAACCCTTTGAGGCACTGCGTAACTACAGTTGTAGCCGTACAATAACGTTATCTTTAACATTACCGAAATTTTGCATTTTCGGATACTCCCTTTGAACATCCTGATAGCCCTTTATTCTTTCAGTTCAGTTCAGTTATTCATTCTTTGTAATTATTATTCATCACTGTTCATTTAATATGCACCCACCAGGCGCTGACTATATTTGAAAGATACGAGCAATATACCATGAGACAATGGTATAATGCCCCAGTATACAATCGCAACCTCATTTTTTCGTGATGGTGCGGCAGCCTAGCTGTTTTGGTTTAGGAACTAATGATGAAAGAGGTCACGGCTTACCGAAGACGATATAGGCGAATTTCTCTCTAAACAGAACGGAAGAACACATTCCATAAGTTTATTAGCACTGGAAAACACTTGTAACATGTACAACGTTACAACTATTTTTTCCCATTTTCGGTGTTCGCCGTAACTGTGACTTGCGTTTCTCTGTAACGTCGCTCATAGTCACTGCCGGTAACTATTCCCCCTTCTTATATTTTTAATTTCAGTCATCTGCGTCTTTTTAAAGTACCTTTGCTATTGTACTTGGCCAAGCAAAAGGATAAAATAAAATAGAGTTCTACACCAGTTCCAAAAGTCAGTTATGGGCTCTCTTTATTCATTAACTCAGTTCTGATTCATACCTCGACAAGTTGACGTATCGCATATAGCGGTCTGTCTCCTCGTCTGACATTGTCTGGAAATTTTTTCGCTTCAAGATTGTCTTTTGGTCACAATTTGTGCCATGATAACCGAATTCACAGTCACCGCAGTCGTAACCACCAAAGTTCGCATTGCATTTGCACACTCTGGTATAAAGAGGGTTAGGCCATAAACTACGGTCGTCCTCCTTCTGGAACTCTTTGAAATGGCTGTACGTTACGTTCCATCTACGAACCGTGAATTCATGACATTGTCCTCTGTTTCCATCGTGAAGCCTTGTGGTACAGGACAACATTCTCTGTTTTTCAGACTTGAACGATTTATACATGCCGTAGGAAACTGCCCTTGTGCAGACGGAGGTGCAACAGCTGGAATCAGGAGGATTGTTATGAGCAAAAACATGCTGATTTGCTAAAAAGTGAAAAAAAAAGAAGAAAATTGAGTGATCATTAATTTTATTAGTTCTCATATTCGGAGGGGCTAGCTAATAACCGGAACAAGCAAAAAAGCGTTTCAAAACAAGCTACCTAGTGATACTGATCGAAATACTTTTTGAATTCACTCTTTTTGCTCCAATACAAGCTAAAGGTTTTTTTTTTTAACCGGGTGTATTTTTTTACACGTAGATGGGTCTTGAACAGGGGAGCCTTATAATTTGGGAAGGGGGGAGGGGAGTCATAAGCGGAAGTTTATGTTGTACGGTGATGTGCTGATGCTCATTATTGTGTGAGATAAAAATAATAAGCGATTATCAAGTGAAATGCATATCATGATCATGAGCTTTTCGAACAGGTCAGAATTATGGTCCTGATATATTGCCTAGTATCCGGAAGAGTCAGCTCAGTTGCGTTAAATTTTTAAGGCCTTCTTCCTTGCCGTACTTTAGTAGATATTAAGAACGACTCAGTAAACAAAACCAGAGAGCGGGAGAGTTGAGCTTCAAGTTTATTTATCCATCTTTTTTCATTATTTTTGAATAATCAACCAACTTATTTAAAAGGATACCAGCATTAATGATAATTTGCTAACCTGAGATCAGGCTCAATTTTCGTTTCGCTTTGCAATGATGAGGACGGCTAAAATTGGGCTTGATCTCAGGTTAATACTTTGCGGGCGAGTTCAACATGGGCGCCACTCTCTGATATTAGAAATTCCCGGTTTCGGGCTTATAATAGTTTAATCGGCTGTTCCATCGCCATGCTTGCAAATTAATAAAATAATAGCTTTGATTTATGAATAGTTGGCATAGTATACAAATATTCTGTTTGTCTCAGCATTCGAGTTAAATTGTCATGTGATGAGCGAGAAAACCCTAGGAACGAAGATGAAATGACGCCTGCGAAGCGATTGAAGCGAGATCGATCATCCTCCTAGGAAATTAACGAACGAGAGAATGAAGACGCTCGAATTCAGGGGAAAATCTAATAGTGAATTTGCTGACACCCTTTTTCATCAAGTGATGATAATAAATATCGCAAGTTTAACAGAAAATAGTTGTAGTCTCCAAAAGAAGCGTGTGGGTTCTTTCAAGCCCTCTTGTTTGTTTGTTTTTTGTTTTCATTTTTGTGTAATCATGATTGGTTTGTTTTGACCTAACGGTTAACACCATCCTCAAATAAAGCACGGATAAATCAAATATTGGCCAGTATATTTTGTACATCTCCCATGCATTTGGTGATCGCTTTGGTCATTTTTTTTCCATACGGAACGCTACATATTTTCCCTCCTGATAGTTTCTGTAAAAATTTGCTTTCGACTTCTCTCGATCCGCGAATAGTTCGTTCAAGTTCCAAAGTCAGCTCCAAACATTAGCGCTAAACACAAGAAAAGATTTCCGTTTCTGGCCTAGTGAAATATTTACCAGCAGCAGAATGAAGAGTAAGAAGGTGCAATGTGTTTGATCTAATTGCGTTCGAGGTACGAGAACGCAACCCCTAATTTGTGTTGGGTGTTCTGTGCATTATTGGGTGACCTGTTCAATTAATAAGGGAGGTTTTTTTGAGATTTTATTTTCGTTCGTCGTCGACACACAATTGCCTCGCTTTGAGGCGCTTGCTTAAGTTTTGCCTCACTTTGACGCGCTAACTCATGTGGTGATTCTTGTGTCCTCGGCGTTCATCTTTCAAAGGTTTGCTAAGGTCTGATATTCTTCGTAAAGCGTTCATCTTTTAAAAAGTTTGCTGAATCTTCGTAAAGCGTACATTGATCTGTGATTGCTGAATCGTCCAAAGCGTTCATCTTTCAGGAGTTTGCTGTTGAATTTTACTTTGGATTAAGCCTTCATATTTTTCAGCATGGTTCGTCACTGTCTTTGGAAACTGTCTGCGACTACTAGTGCATGTATCAAACCGGGTTTAGTTCGGCGGCCGTTATGCCACAAAGTAAATTTACCGAGTTGTGTAGCTCGGCGGCCGTTATGCCACAAAGTAAATATACCGAGTTGTGTAGCTCGGCGGCCGTTTTGTCACAAAGTAAATTTACGAGTTGTGTAGCTCGGCAGCCGTTGTGCCACAAAGTAAATCTACCGAGATGTGAAGCTCGGCGGCGCCATTTGAGCATGACTTGTGATATTTTCGGCACCGGACAAACGAACACTTTAACTCTATTTTATTTATTAGGAAAAACTTATAAATCAGCCCACAGTGGCGTCACTGTCGAGTCACTGAAATCAACACGCTCGACCAAATTACTGGAAAAGTTATTGACGTGAGTCGCACACACGTTCCATTGAAGGCTTTGATATGGTTAGTGCGAAGTTTGAATTCAGATGTGAAAGCTTTTAAACCAGTAAATTCAGTGTAATTCATTTTGTCAACAAGTTGATGATTGGATGCTGTTAAAAATAACAGAGGAAATTATCCGAAGAAATGTTTTTGAAGAAAGAAAAAAGAATCCCGGGTTAAGAACTAATCGGCCTTTGAGAAACTGCGCCCTGTAACTCGCGCCAGTAAAACAAAATGTTCCATTTACACGTCCGACGCTGGCCAATGTCTCCTCCGATTAAAAGCACTGGACACCGAACCATAGGATATCTTTTGAAAACGTTCGTAAAATGATACACAGTTTAAATAAAGGTTTCGCTGTACGCAACCCTTACGTTCAGAATATGCCATAATCATATTTATCTACATCGCAACCACCCTTCCGCCTCAACAAACATATCGAACGCACTCTCCTAAGCTCCGATTACTCCTATTTTATAAGACTAAGAAAGTTTTTGTGGCCTAAGTTTTGGTCGATCTGGACATCACATGAGACTGCTTCAAAATATACAGAGTGCAGTGGAAGGGTGTTAGACGAGAGAAACAATGCAAAAGCACTTTGATCGCTCTTTCTTTTTTGTTGGAAGAAACTGTGCGCAAAACTCATCAAATACTGACTCAAATACTGTAGCTTCCATGCCATGGAAAAGTACATATTAGTAAAGCTAGTTTATAAGTGTGAAAAACACGAGACGGCCATTTGCATTCAGGTAGTAATTAACTGGATCTGGTGAAGGAAAAAGTTCCCCCACTAAACTAGAGATAAAACTCAAATGGAAAACAACAATATTCTTGACCCTTTTTCATTTGTGACTTGAACTGGTCGCGTCGTAGCGGTGGATTTTACCGTGAACCGTTACTTACTGTGATCAGCCAAAAATTAATAACGTAATGTCCCCCAACTTTTCAATTGTAAATCCGCCAATGGAATCTTTTCTGTTTCCAGCACCGAACTAAAGTAATACGAACTCAGTGGTCAGCAAAAACAGCTAAACGCGTGTGTATAACCTCTAAAATTGCTCAAATCAATTGATTTGCTGGACCAAAGGTAAGAACTTAAATAAGCAAAAGGAAGGAAGTAACTGTCATTCAGTAATTTTTCTTAGAGTATTTTTTTCTTTTATGAGTAAGTGCGCAAAAAAAATTCTTGAAATGCCCATTTGGTCGCACCCCTCTTCCGTACTTCAACTTCCCTTAAAAACAAAATTGTGGAAAATGGTGGCCTAAATTGCAAAGTCCTGAGCGATATTCTCTGTTAATAAACAAGTATCCCTGATACCTAGAGCTAAGAAAGTTGACCATCAAGGCATCAATAATAATAATAATAATAATAATAATAACCTCAGAAGGCGCAAAAGATGGTTTTATCGCTTCAATGACTTTGATTCTCAGATCAATGGGAAAAACTAATACCAACTCAACGCTAGAAATTCTCAAGTCCTCGTCATTTATGATCTAAGAATATGCACATCAAGCAAAGTAAATAGTGAATAAAGAACGTAACAGGTGAAACTGAACTTTGTACTTCAAAAACGGATGTTAATTCTACGGGAAATAAACTATTTTTAATTAATGCGTATGCTTCGGAACTACACAAGGAAAAACATCTATCATTAAAAACAAATCTTCTTATTGCGGGTGCATTCAGTGTCTCAGAGTGTGATTTTTATACCCGGCAACACACACAGGGATCCCATTTAGCCAGGCATAGAACTGAATTTAAAAAGAACCCCTGTGTAAAGGAAAAATACCATCTATACATTTTAGTGCCTGTCACTGAAATACAGTGATTGAGTCTCAAAAAACTTTTTTTTCTTTGTTAACTCACCTGTCTAAACATTTCTTAAAATTACATTTCCTGATAGCTCGCCTGAAGAGGGGAAAGCAAAACAGAAGTTTCATTTATTGCAGTTATGATACTGAAAAAAAATTAAATTTTAAGAGAGTACTTCCTTCCATTGTGTTCAGAAGCACCTCCAGGCCAGAATTGCGTAATTAATAGAGAGGTTAAGCATCACGTTTACGTCAACGCAAATGCGAATTTGTACCACGTGACCAAGTTTCCTCTTTATTTGTCGTTTACTGTTCATTACTTCTCTACCTAAATTAGTAGTTTCACGCAACTTTTCATCCATAAGATCTGTTTTGATCTGTTCTTATCTGCTCATTTTCTATTTTGAGAAATTCTGAACCGAATCTGACGTTTGCCGTTTGCTGTATACGTGAACCGTAAACTCTCTAATGTTTAAATTAACGTAACTGTATAAAAGTTCAAAACAAGGCAATTAACGATCACCTTGCGTAACTAAGTAGCCTTGTAATTGACGAGTGGAAACCGCATAGGAGAGGAAGTTGAAAACGAACAATAGGGTACAAACTTTGGCCCTGCCTAGAAAAATCAAGAACTTTACTAGCTATAACGTAAGAGAACACCTAGGCTTTGTAGAATTATTCTCAATTCCATAACGCCTTGACTGAAATGACATTGTATTTTCCCACTTAGTGTAAACCAACTCAAAAGGCTTCAATACATCTAGTCTGCCCGCTTTAATTTGCTACAGGCTGC